ACCCATCCAGCGGGACCACTTACAAGTCTTCATTGAATAGTGAGAAACAGTGAGGTAATTTTCGAGACAAACAAATAATATCTGAACCAAAAATAGCCATACGCTATTTTTGAAATGCAACGCCAAGTGGAAGTGGCAAGTGCGCTCTTAGGTGGCGGGAGATCGACGTCACAATTCTGTATTGATGACGGCGTTGGTAACGTCGCTAAAATAACATCGGCCTAAAATCGGCCCTCTGGCACTGAACGTAGTATGTACAGATCGGCCCAAAATCGGCCCTCTGGCATACAATGGGTTAAACTATCAATATGTTTAAACAGTGGAATAAAACATCTACACGGATATCAACGTCTTCTCTTTGATACAATAAATGTACTACGAAATAACTGTTTTCTCGGACCAGTGTTTGTTATATTATGTCTGTTTTGTTTTACTAACGTCATTCTGTCGGGTTGTTCAATATAGTTTTTATAAGAATTCTTCGACTGCTTTGTTATTTGGTCTCTGGTGGAGTTGTCTCTTTGGCAGTTATCTTCTTATTTTTATAAAAGAGAAGTGAAAGATACCAAAGGGACATTCAAACTCACGAGTCGAAAACAAATTGACAACGAACGCCATGGCTAAAAAAGAAAAAGGCAAAAAGACAAAAAACAGTACACAAAACACAACAGAGAAAACCAAAGACTGAGCAACACGAACCCTACCAAAAAACTGGTTGCTTGGTGTTATTTATATGCTACATCGATGAAGATATCATTTGTCAAGTTGAAAATTTGTTGTTTTCGTAATTTAAGCCATGATAGATAATCCTTGGCTTCTAGTATTTTTCTAGAATGTTTTCTCCTTGACAAATATGTTTTCAATAAGTTTACAATATTAAGTTGTCACGAAGTTTGTAATACTAGTATATATAATAAGAATTTAACATCAGTAATCCGAAATACCAAATATAAAACGCTAAATGTTAAGTTGAAAATAACCGTAAAACTATTTCTATTTTGCAAATCGCAAATATGCATATTTCTTTTCTTTTCTTGCTAAAATCCTTTAATTAATGAATGGAAAAATAAATTATTCTTTCACTTGAAGGCACTGACCATTCATCTTTTGTTTGTGTGTTTGTGTTTGTGTGTGTGTGTGGGGGGGAGGGGGGGGGGGGGGGGCATAAGGGAGAGAGATAAGACACAAATGATCTTTTATCAAGAAATTTGGAATCAAACAATTTATATAAAAAAAACTGATAACAAGTTTAGAGAAATATCTTTTTAATGTGAACATGGCTTCATTGACCTGATTGACATTTAATTATAAATCCTTTTTTACGTGGAGTGGACGGGAATGTGACGTCTGTGACGTTTTTCTAAAAATCACAATTTTTGCAAGGTCATCAAACTCGGCGGCAATACACCTTATCGCTAATCCCGCTTGACCCGAGAATCAGTCCCGCTCGAACTTTTGACGTCATACAACAATCACTTTTCCATTGTGGCGTCAGATATTTTCTATTATGACGTCAAAATTTTACGGGAACTTGTGTGATGTCCAGTAATGGCGGACAAATAGCGATAAGCTGTATAGGAAGGTAGAACAAAATTTTACGCGTCGCCAGGTAAACTAAATTTGCGACAGTAAAACTACCGATGGACGTCCGCAAAGCTTCAAATACAATAGAGTTATCTCTATTCTAATGCAAAATAAACAAACCATTCAATTTTAGTCATTGTTTCTGTGTAAAATTTTCATTAAACGAAAATTCCGCCAAATGATGTTATCTTCTTTGGCGCCTAAACTAGGTGACGTCATAGGTGTACTTCCGGCATCAAACGTAAACACCGGGCGTTTTCTGGGTTCTTGCAGTTGGAAAGCAAGTCCTTGGAGTTGTCGTCAAGCTCTATCAGCAACAATGGCAGGGGGAATTAATTAGGTGGCGCTACAGTCGTCGGTGACGTCAAAAATTCCGCGAAATAAATCGGCTAAAAAATCGACGTTTAAACTATTTTTTTCAACTTGTCATGCTTTTATTATAATTGATTTTTAAAGTTTGTAGATTTTGTGAACAATTTAGTTTCAATACGACATTGAAACATTGTCGAAAATAACTTTTATTTGCTATTACTTTATCCTGTCCGTTCTAAAAATGATCATCCATCTGTTTTGTTCGCCAAAAACATCGAATTTATATAACTTGGCGTTTGCGTATCCAAATACGGAATAGAACGTTAAAAATCTTAAATGAAACCGGGTAACCTATTTCAAATTTCTACACAATTATGAAGCCATCATTTTTTACTATTATACATCAATTTTGGTGACCACCAGTCATGTCAATTTGTACCTGGTTTTGGCTGCGTTTCTACTTCAAAACAGTAAAGTTCAACTTCTTTTCATTGTACCTGTTTCCAAAGTACTCTAAAATACTGATTTTATTATAGATATAAATGAAATTGTGATTAAAAATCACAATTCCATACGATATCTACATTTTAAAGTTATTAAACCCCTTTTTGATCCCCTACACAAATTGACGGTGACATTGTTTTCTTTTTCAACATACGTCATATATAACGTTTACAAAATATGTGTCAGGGTCATGTGCATAGTGTAAATTTACACATTGGACAAGTGAAACAACAAACAAAGTTCTTCTTTATGGCGTTTGAAACTATAGGTCTAAGAAAATTTCATTTATACTGGAAGCAAATATGACAAATTAATGATGGCCTATGGATAAACAAAAGCACAAAATTAGCAATAGAAAATGCTTTGCAAAGAAAATTTCTGGAGGAAAAAACATATGAAAAAAGGAAATGAAGGTCAGTTAATTATATATATATTTTATAAGTTAAAAACCTTGCTTATCAATTATCTCTTTACTAAGTAAGCTACATTAATAAGAGCAAACACTAGCTTTTCAAGTCAAACAAGAAATTAATTCATAGAGATGTGTGCTTACAAAATTGAATTTATTCAAATGGCAAAATCTTGTCAAATTTAATCATCAAAATGCACAAGATTTGTCAAACCAACTTTCATTTCTGAGATTAATATCCAATTATTCAGGTAAAATATACAATACTTTGTTTATAAATACGTAAAGCAGCAGATACAGCAACCTGAAGAGAAGAAGCCCCAATTTTTTTTCAAAATGTTTACTTTCATAATCTATAAAATGCAAAAGTTTAAAATACTTAAATAGCTTTCCAAGACGTCATAATTATTTGGACTATAAAATACCCTGAGAAATTGGATAAGGGCTACTGTGCTATCTAATCTAATAGTTGAATTTTACATAATAATGATTTTAAAATTCAAAATTATGTCACTTTCACTTAAATTTTATGCATTATTTTTTTTACAGAATTTTTGTCATTTTTTTAGCAAACTTATCCTTTTTCTGTATGATATTTTCTAGGCAGTACTGTACTTTTCAACTAAGAAATGTAGGCTTGAGTTAAAAGGCTTAAAATTTTTACTTTGAAGAAACTAAATTGTGACTCTTGGTCCCTCTTTATTAAAATATAAAATATAAATGGTCAGTACTATTTTTTTTTCAGAAAGATTATTTAAATTGTATACAGTATGTTTTATTGAATTAAACATTGTTAGAAGTAGTTACATTAGGAGTGATCCCATATCCCATTATAAAAATTACAAACTGAAAGTAAATTTCATCAGCCAGGGCTAATTTATATCAATTCAGCTAGGTTTCTAGATCTAATTTATATCAATTCAGCTAGGTTTCTAGATCTAATTTTTACCAATTTTTTGTCTTTTAATTTTTACCTGTAATCCTTCTCTGAAAAGTAGAGAAGTATCTCTTCTTGATATTAAAATATCATGGTTGTTAATCGACTTTCTTTTATTTTCTTCTTCATTTTTGTAAAATAAACTCCTTTTTATTCATTTTGGTGAGTTTTTATTTTTGACTGGTGATATCAAGGGGAGATAACCACTTGCACAAATCAGCAAAAAAAAAAAACACCGCTTCGTGTTGAACATAACTTGACGTTTGCGTATCCAAAACTGTATTGCCTAGATATTCATATCGAGTGTTTGTCTTAATGAGATGCTTTATTAAATTTAAATTCAGCCCATCATTTTTAGTTTCCTCGAAAATATTTAGATTTTTCGATCAGGAGCCTTGACAATTTTCACACAAACTTCAAGTTTGAAGATAAAATAAAGAATAAAGGACTTTGAGTTGATGTGTAAGTTTTGACGAGTTAAAACTATGTATATTCAAGATTATTTTGATCAATAAGTTTTTACTATGACAGTGGTATCTTAGTGAGTAAAAGTGAGGTTTGTCTCATCCGTAGTTTTACTGAATTTTCACGGTCACGTGACTCTATTGTTGCTGATAGACTTGGGGTCAAACCGTGACCTGCTTTCCAACTGTTGTCCGCTTCAAAATGTAATAAAATTTGATGAAAAGAAGATTTGTAGGTCCAAATGTGAGTTTTTTTGCTTACTGATTATTGGAGAAATCACATGTCATTAAGGTGGTACCCAACACCTTGACTAATATTAATTTGGCTCGTTTAATTTTCCTATAATTTTGACAAAATGTTTACTTTGACCCTTTGACAAAAATATAAAAATTTCAAATAATTTGAACCAACCACTTTATCAGAAAAATTTCACTGGTTATATAGCAGTTTGACAAACACTAATTTTAATCATTGAGAAGCTTAATATTTCCTTAACAATACAACGTGATTAAAACGTTTAATTGATTTTTACAGAGTTATCTCCCTGTAGTGTTAGGTACCACCTTAAACGCCTTTTGAAGGAATTTATTAGTGTATAAACTGGACCAAGTCACTCAAAAACTTATCATAAAAGTCCTTTGTTTGTGAGTGAATTGGTCGAGTTTATACACCAATAAATTCCTTTAAAAAGGCGTTTAATCCTATAGTAAAATTTTCATTTAACAAAAATTCCGCGAAATGATGTTATCTTCTTTGGCGCCTAAACTATGTGACGTCATAGGTAAACTTCCGTCATCAGCGTCTTTTGTTAATAACATAAGCTGATAAGAATGTTGTTGTTATTGGTTTTATCACTTTTAATTTTTGATGGTAAGTAGACTTATACACGAAGTGCATTCCCTCAAGTAAAGTTGTAGCTGCGGAAAGGTCTTTTAAAATGATTTTTTTTGACAAAGCTAGTAAAGTTGGTGCTTATCTTTACTTGGGCAGTTTTAGTCCATATAATTATGTTGTCTTGGAAAGCTATTTTATTTTATTTCTGTGACGCCTTCCTACGACACAATAAAAAATTAAAATAACCTTTCAAAACGTCATATTTATGTGGACTATAGGGCAGTTTCTGCCATTCTTTCAATGCAAAGAATATGAATATTACATTATGCACCTTTAACAGTCGGAAGGCAAGCCATGTCATACTGGTATATTCAAGGTACCTTCTCAAGACAACAATGGGTCACCTAGGGGACCGGTCAATATTTATTGGGGGGTTGGGACCGGTGCAATTTATATTTCTCCCTTAAAAAAATCTATGTCCTACCCTCTGAATATACCAAAAAAAGTTTCTGTCCTATATGAAATATCTACTAGTACTAAATAAGTATATGTCCTATCTAATCTATGAATAAATCAAACAGACTATAGTTGTTAAATTCTGTGTCATTTGGTCTCTTGTGGAGAGTTGTCTCATTGGCAATCATACCACATCTTCTTTTTTATATTTAACTTCATTTTTATCAGATTAACATAGATCACATATAGTAGTCTTTGAATTTGTCTGGAACTTTAACTGATCTCCTCCTTGAAGAAGGCAAATAAGATTCCTTTTCAATTTTACTTTCACTGCCACTTCTACTACTATTACTACTGTATTCATCATTTAGTATTATTATCATCATTGTCATTATCACTGTCAGAACTGTCAAAGGGTCTTATTACAAGGTCATATTCTTCATGACTTTGGATTTGTTCATTATCTACACTACAAACTGCTCAGAGTCTGAAAAGACGAGATTTTGTGCTCACATTTTACTTGACTAGTCTCAACTTTGTCTCGACATGTTGATATATATTATATGAATATATCAAAATGGGATCAAACATTAAAGAAATTATTAAAATTGTCCTTCTGATTAGTGGTGAAGTATAAGGCCACAATTAAAAAAATGTATGTTTCCCCACACCCCTACCCACATTGTTGTAGGTGGGTAGGTAGGTAGGTGTTTTTTTTTTTTTTATATCTTGATAATTTTTTGTTAATACCCAACAGAGCAAAACAAATCGATCATGTGTATGTCTGGCACATATAACCATTTGTAGCAACTTTAATGTAAGTGTTAGAATGTCCTAAAGGAACATATTTTTGAAAAATATGAATGGACTTTTTAATAATAAACTCAGTAAAAGAATTTGTCTGGTGATTTTTAGTTACCAAAATTTAAATGACAAAAAAAAATAACTTTACAAATTAACCCCTTCCCCTTTACACCCTTTTCCCAATTAAATTGGTGTATATTGAATTATATATATACCAATTTTAACTATTTTCCTGGCACTCCTATATCAGCTGTTTAATTTAAATGTCTCTAAATATCCAGACAGGGTTGTCTGTTATTTAGGTGTTTCCCCAAGTATTTTTCCCGCCAAAAGTGATCATGTGACATGTTTGTCAACAAAAGAAAACATGTGGTCAAGGAATTCATTTAATTTCTGGATTATACTGCTTTTAATAATTTAGTTTTTTTATCATTATAAATACTTTTTTTATATAAATTTTGTTTACAAAGTTGCTTTATATACTAAAGTTCAAGAAAAGTACAAAAATGTTTTTTTTTAAATAAGTGTTTTCTTGTTAAAGAAAAATAATCTCAAAACTGAATTGTGACTTTTTGTCCTGTGACTTTCTGTCCTACATTCGATAAGTAATACACAAGTTTAAGAAAAGTAGGGCTTTCTTTTTACCTGTAATACACACATGTACTAATGTAACCCTTTCCTCCATAATGACGCCTTTTGACGCCACCCCCTTTACTCCATAATGACGCCTTTTGACGCCTCTGTATAGTACCTCAGTTGAAACACTTTGACTACGAAATGTCTGTATCAGACTTAATAAAATTTGTATCCAATATAAAAAGGATATTCATTAGAACATCTGACTTGAATTTCATTGATGAAATATTTGTTTTCGCAATGCATTAATACTTTAAACGTGCTGATTATTTTTATAAATAGCCGTCGCCATTTTTTCGAAGTTCTTGTTGACAACCAAGTTTCAGAACACTGACATTGTCACGTTAAGGTGGCTCGGCCCTTTAACAGTGCGCATATTTTAACGCATGTTACTAACGACGAGCGCCTTGGAAACGGTCGCTTTGAGGGGTTTTCTCAAAAATAGTTTTGACGACATTGGAACGCGGGCGTGTATGAAAGCACCCTTTCCCGATGTCAACAAACCATGCAAAACGTTCTACAAAAGCCACAAAACAGGAAATACGTACGGTCAGGACTACAGAGTGGTTTGTTCATTTTTCACATAAAAAGGAAAGAATTATACATGATATATTAAAGCATAACATTAAAAAAAAGAAAATATAAATATTGACTTGTACGACGGTATCTGGTGCGTTCGCTCCAAAAACACATTCTCACCCTACACGTTCGCCCCTTGGATGCGTTCGCACCCTATTTTCATTTAAATACTGGTTGAATATATCAAAAGATTTCTTTTAGATGTATTAGTATATATATGAAAATATTTTGCCAATGACGCAATGTTTAACCGTAAACAAAGGATAGCGATGTAAACAACTGCATGTCACCTTTCGGCTTTCAAAAACAAGTAAAATCCATATAGTATGCTATAGTATAAAGGCATCGGGGTTCATCTGCACGCTATAAATAATAAATAAATAAAAAATAATAAATAAGCTTTATTTAGAGTCGGCAAAGTATACAAACAGAGTCAACATAAGCTCTAATGAGCTTTTAACCGTTTTATCCGTTTGGCGTTTTATTACATTTTGTTACTGTCATAAATCTCTTTTTTTCTTGAAATACCTTCATTTCCAAGTATTGGTAGGATCTTATTCTGGAGTATGTGAAATATTTTCCCACTGCAAAATTTTGATAATATATATAGTTACGTATTTTTTATTTGCCAAAAATTTTTGAACATAACAATTCCGGAGTATGGGAAATATTTTCCCACTGCAAAATTTTGATAATATATATAGTTACGTATTTTTTATTTGCCAAAAATTTTTGAACATAACAATTCCGGTGTATGGGAAATAATTTAACACTGCAAAATTTTGATAATAGTTAAGTATTTTTTATTTTCCAAAATTTTTTTTGGACATTACAATTTTCAAACAAAGACTAAATACTTGACAGTCACACATAACATTTGTATTTAAAGATTTATATACTTTATCAAATAATGGGCACGAAAATATCTAACAAATTTTCTCGTATCATGATTCTATGAAATTTGGAACTCTAGTAATATAACATGAGACCTCGGGGCCAATGTTTTCTATTTATAATATTTTCCTTTTACTTATTTTGCTATTTGTTAATTTTCTATTTTCTGTTGTATCTATCAATATGCCAACAGAGTTCGCATTAAAAAAAGAAAGAGGAAATATCAGCGTAAAAACTAAAATAATTGATTAAGAATGAGTTATTATAATAGACTAACGGAACTCTAGCAACACATTTTTTGTTTTACGCAGAAAAAAACCCGGACATTTCAATAATTTGCAGTTTTCAACCTTTGATCATGTAGATGAAAATTGGTCAATAGCAACCGGGACCTTACTAGTATTCCGGCCTTATATATCGGTATATGCTTTTATCCCTCAATACCACATGCTTTGCGGCGCAAAATATTTGGCTTGACCAAGTCGGGATTTTGCCTAGGACACACATCCGCAGTCTACCGGGCAGTTCCAAACACTACCAGTTAAAGGCATTATATATACACAAAATCTATACTACTTACTAGGTTCAGGAAAAGTTGGGATTGCAATTTTAAAACTCCGCCCAGTACACAGGGACGCTATAATAGTTGGTGATATTGGCAAACTTTAACTTCTGTCTTACTTTTTGACATGCGTTTTTTTCAAAAGGGAAGCTAATAAGGAAAGTTCTTGATTTAAAAATATTAAAGTGGAGTGTGTCATTGCGGCAAGAAATATGCATGACAACTTTTTTAATGATGTGTGAACACTGGTTTGACCCACCTGCTAGCTGCAAAGAAACGTAATTATCGGCCTATGATGATATGGAGATGCATTTTTTTTTAATATTGACTTTTAAATTTGAACTTTGGTGGATAGTTGTCTCATTGGCAATCATACCACATCTCCTTATTTTCATATCGTAGGGTATAGAAATATGACTTCCCTTATCTGACAGATAATCCCTTGCTATGACAGGGTGTTCATACAGCTGGATGTATAAATACCTCCGGGGGGGATAGGAGGGGGGCACTTCAATACTTAAGGATGTTCGCTACTCTGTTTCAAAATAACAAGCTTTTCAAAAGACTGTTCTAAAATGATAGTATATAAATTGAGGAACTAAAAAAACAGAAAAGAATGAAGGGTCCGTGTGCTTGTTTTCGAGATAAAAGCCATTGAAACTTTGGCGGGAAATGATTCTCTCTAGACTTTTCATACTTTTAATATTGGCCGCTTTTTTGTTTCAAAAACTATGAAAAAATAACAAGGATTTTATAAGATTTTCAAATGTGGCTTTTTAAACTATATGTAATAAAATTATGAAAAGAAAAGTAGGGGTTAGTGGGCAAATTTTTTTAATGGCAATACATGGATAAAACCAGAGGATTTCGAAAATCTAGCAGAAATTCAAAAACAAGAGGAGCAAACTTCCTTAATTGATAGGGGGTGCCGCTGGGGCCCACCTTTTTCAAAAATTTATATTTCAAAAATGTATACCTTTTCATATATATTGCGTAGGTAAAAATGTAGCCTTTTCCCTATAATGCTTGGGTTTCATGTAGTGTAATGTAAGACTAGAATACTAAAGTGTTAAAAGAGAAAATTTGGTTGATAAAATCACACCCG